AGTTCGAGCCCCGCGTCGGGCTCGGTGCTGCAAGCTCAGACAGGCTCCAGGTCCGAGCACATCTCCCTCTCTCTCTGCCCCTCGCCTGCTCATGTGCACGCACTCTCTCTCTCTCTCAAAAAAATAATAATAAAAACTAAACAAAAACATGCAAAATGAGACAACACATTGTTTAGCAATACAAACACACGTGGTTGAAACTGTAAAGAGAATGATAAAAGCAAAACTGTGATGAGCTGGGGGCGGGGGCAGGACAGGATAGGATCAGGGAGGGGTGTTCCAAAGGTAACAAACGGTAACATTCTTATTTGTAAACTGAGCCATGGGTACATGGGTTTCCTTGTATCTATTCTTTATGCTGTATATATTTCTTTGTATCTACTCAATATTTAACAAAAAACAACTTACAAAATTAAACAATGTTCTTTCTGACTTTAAACAATGTTTTTGTTTTTTTTATTTTATTTATTTTGAGAGAGGGAAAGAGAGGGCGAGCAGGGGAAGGGCAGAGAGAAACAGAGGGGGAGAGAGAGAATCCCAAGCAGGCTCCACACTGCCAGCACAGAGCCCCATGCAAGGCTCAAACCCACAAACCGTGAGATCATGACCTGAACCGAAACCAAGAGTCAGACGCTTAACCGAGACACCCGGGCGCCCCTAAACAATGTTTCGAGGCATGAACTTGGGCAGCTGAGTTACAGTAAACCAGGAAAGTCCCTGACGGGGGCCCCCCACTGCCAAGACTACCGAAATGGGACGTGCTGCACACCAGGCTCGGAGCACCTGGAGAAACAGCTTCCCGCTGGGCACCAGCGCCTCCCATTCGGGACAGGAAAGTGGCTGCTTTGATTAATAACAGTTCCAGCATAGGAAGTGGTGTGGGTGGGGTGGGGGGAACAGGTTCTACTGCCAGACCTCTTATGACAAAAGCTGAGTGCTTTTTCTTTCTTTTTTTTCGGGGGGGGGCCCCGCTTCCAGCTTTACTGAGAAATAATTGACATACATCACTGGGTAAGTTTAACGTGTACAGCTCGTCTGAGTTGCCATATATGGTGACGTGTGATCACAACAGGTGCAGCTGACATCCTCCTTCTCACAGAGATACAAGAAAAATAAAGAGGGGCACCTGGGTGGCTCAGTTGGCTAAGGGGCTGACTCTTGGTTTCGGCTCAGGTCATGATCTCCCAGTTTGTGAGTTCAAGCCCTGAGTTGGGCTCTGTGCTGACAGTGTGGAGCCTGCTTGGGATTCTCTCTCTCTCTCCCTCCCTCCCTCTCTCTGCCCCTCCCCTGCTTGTGCTCTCTCTCTCTCAAAATAAGTAAATAAACTTAAAAAAAAAAAAGAAAGAAAGAAAAGGAAAACAATTTTCTCCTGTGATGAGGGCTCACAGGATCTACTCTCAACGGCCCCCCTTTTGTCACACGGCAGTGTCAGCTGCAGTCGTCAAGATGTCAGAGGAGGCTTCTGATGTTACCAGGAACCCACCGCACCTGCTTTCGGGGTGGTCCCGCCCTCAGCGGGAACCACCACCCCCGAGCCTCCGCAGGCAGCTGTTTAGACAGGACTGAGCAACTCCCACTTCTCACCAGGCCCTCTGCTTCTTTCCTTGGAAGTTCAAGGCTTACATCTCTCCAGTTCCTGACAAGCAGGCTTGACTCCCCGAGCCCAGAGCCCAAGCCCCGGTTTTCTGCATGAATCCGTGGCGATTACAGCCCGGAGGTCTACTTTCACTGGCCCTTGGATGGGTAGCTACTGGTGGCAGGGGGACCCACGAGAGGGCCGGGTACCTGTGCCGACAGCGCACACATCCGCAGCAAGTGCGGAAACCGCTCAGCAAACGCTTACGCTTTGACCTCTGTTATTTCAGTCATTTAGAAACCGTGGCCAGCAAAGGAAGGAGGGAGTGGTCTCCAGGACAACATGCTTTGTGCACACAAACGTATCTGGAGTTTTTCATTTTCTCTCAGGCTGGGTCCCTCCCTTTTGTGACCACCCGCGCAAGCACCATCCTTCGAGGAATTTCAGGAAGGTAAAGAGTGAGCCACCTGGTCTTTTATGTGGCAAACTAGTAAAACCCTGAAGCCCCGCCCACAGAGGCTGCCCTTCTACACGCAGGAGCTCAGTGTCTAAACAAAATCAAACCACTCGACGCTTACAAAATGGTCCTCCCTAGATACACACAGAGACATATACATGCATGGAATAGCTCTGGAAGGATCCACAGATACCATTAACAGTTCTCTGGGAGGGGAACTGGGTCAGGTATGGGAGGGTGACTCGCCTCCCCACAAGGCATTCTTCGGAACCTTCTGACTTTTGTACCTTATACGTATTCCTATACCAAACATTTTTCTTCTTCCTCAACTGTGCACGTTCTTTTTTGACCCTCTCAAGGGTCCTCTTCTCCTAACTAACACATAATAACACCAGTTACCAATTATGGAGTCAGGGACCCGACTAAGCATTTCACATTCATCACCTCATCAATAATTCCAGCCAATAAAGTTATGTGTGAGGTCATCAGTATCCCCATTTTACAACGGAAGAAACTGAGGCTTGGAGAGACCAAGTATTTTGCCCAGAGGCACATCTAGTGGGTATAAGAACGAGTAAGAGTCCAGGTATGTCTGACTTCTAACCAGTACCCTACACTGCAGGCTTCTAGCGGGAGACCATCTGGCCCCAGGAGATGTTTGGCAATGTCCGGAGTCACGTTTCATCGTCACAGCTGGTGAGGTAGGTGAGTATTACAGGCATCTATGGGTGGAGACCAGGGATGCTAGAACCATCCCGAAGTGCACAGGACAGCTCACAACAAAGATTTACGCAGCTCTGAATGTCGATAACACCAAGATTGAGAAGGGGCTGCCTGGGCGACTTCGTCGGTTAAATCCGACTTCGGCTCAGGGCATGAATCTTGTGGTGAGTTTGAGCCCCATGTCAGGCTCTGTGCTGACAGCTGGGAGCCTAGAGCCCGCTTCAGGGAAACAATTCTGTGTTTCCCTTTCTCTCTGCCCCTCCCCCACTTGCACTCTGTCTCTCTCACTCTCAAAAATAAAGGAACATTAAAAAATAAAAATTGAAAAAAAAAATCAAAGTTGAGAAACCATGCTCTACTAGAAAAAGACAGAGGAACTATCTTCTGACCTAAACTGTCAAATCTCACAGGTCACCATTTTATTTTACACCCCTACTCCAGCCAGATACCAAATAAACCGTCAGGTTTCTCCTGTCTTCAATCAATAGCAGGCCAACCCCACATCACGCCGGGGTTCTCTCCAACCTGACTGCTGGTTCCTCCCTAGCCAGCCAAGGCTGATCATTCATCCACCCAAGCATGTCTACTGAGCACCAGCTACGTGCCGGGGACCAGAAGAAACAAGCCCCATCCCCGCCTGCACGATGCCAATGGGCCAACGGGGAGACGGAGAAACCTAGGATTATCCCGTGAGGTAGGAATGCACTGAGACATCAGTGCAGGATGCTAAGAAATCAACAGAGGAGGAGCTCTACCCTCAGCTGGGGTGGGTGACCGGGCAGGGCCCAGAGAAGGCTTCCCAGCAGCATTTGAGCTTATGGGAATTCAACAGGCAGAGGCAATCCTTCCCTTCCCAAAGGACCCCTCGCCAGACCATTCAGAGTACGGTCTCTGAGAATCCACAGATGGACCCCTTTAATCAGAGAGCTTGGCAGAACTCCCAGAGCGGTCGCTGATCCCCTCTGGACAATCGGGATAATTCCTGCCTTGAGCGAGGACACAACCCGGCTTCCCCACAGGGAATTCTCAAAACAATTCTGTGATGTAGGTACTGTTATCCCTATCTGACAGAGGAGGAAACTGAGGCACAGCAGTGACATAACTGGCCCTCAGGATACAGAGCCACTAAACAGAGATTCACACCTAACACCAGAGTCCTCACCGCCTACGAGGGGAGCTTCACAAATGTCAATCCAAACACGTTGTTCAGTCTGGATCTCCCCCCCCCACCCCAATCTCAGCAGAGCCTTCCACCATCAGTCATCCTTCCCCTGGATCGCCTCACACTTGGGAATAGACCCCCGTAGTGTTCCTTGTGTTGTATGGTGATTACCCACACGGCTAAGAGCTCCTTGCTCCCAGGATCCAGTCTTCCCTAGCTAGCACCTGGCATGGCGTCTGACCTGCTGGGCACAGGAAGCGCTGAATGCATTAACAAGCCAGGACTCCCTGTGCCCAAGCATGTCAACCCACCTGAAGCCAGAGCAGTCTGCCTTGGGGAGAACGCCCAGCCCTCTGTCACCAATACAGGGGACGTTCCCTCGGGCTGGGCCCAAGCCCCAGGGTCAGCAATCCAGTCACACAGGGACCAAGCAGGCTCCCTTAGCCAGCTTTCCCTCCAGCTTTGGGACAGTCATGATTCGTTCTTTGGTTGTACACCAGATGCTTATGTTTGGGGACATGCTGTACAAGAATACAGATCTTTAAACATTAGAACCTTAAAAGGAATGAACATGTACTCCCCACTCTGTCTGCCAGATGGGGTGCAGACAATAATGGCAGGGGCTGGAGCGGCCAGCTTGGACCAGGAGACGGAGATCTGGGTTTGAGCAAGGAGAGCCACATGATCACTAGAACCCCATTTCCGGATACTTCACAGAACAGAGCAGGATGCCCTACCAACTCTGGACTGCCTAATTCTAGATTATCAAGAGGAGAGGAGTAAATTTCGAGTTTGTTTCAGCCACTGTATTTTGGGATTGCTTGGCTGGAGCATGTTAGGCTGTATTTGATTAAAACAAGGTGTGAGCATTTGCCCGGTGATTAACCTAGTCTGGTCTTCATTGGTAAACCACGAATAATGACAGCAACAATCTCCCAGCCACACTCACATACTGTCCTCACTGTATAGCTTGAAAGAAAAAGCTGCCTTGAAAGGGTGACTTGAATCGCGCTGAGCCTAGAGGAGAAGGACAAGCGAGCTGACCTTCTGGTTTGTTTCATCCTTGAGCATTACCGACATACCTCAGATTTCCAAGGAGCCCAGGCTACTCTTTTCTGACAGTTTGCGTAAACTCCAGCTTGGCTCTCCTCCTCCAGCTCATCACCTGAATCAAAGACACCCAAGCAGAAAATCGGATGAGAACCTGCAAGGCACCTGCTCCCTTAAAGCCGCCCTTTTGGGGCGCCTGGGTGGCGCAGTCGGTTAAGCGTCTGACTTCAGCCAGGTCACGATCTCGCGGTCCGGGAGTTCGAGCCCCGCGTCAGGCTCTGGGCTAATGGCTTGGAGCCTGGAGCCTGTTTCCGATTCTGTGTCTCCCTCTCTCTCTGCCCCTCCCCCGTTCATGCTCTGTCTCTCTCTGTCCCGAAAATAAATAAACGTTGAAAAAAAAATTAAAAAAAAAAAGCTGCCTTTTTTCACTCATCCATGAAACACAGGCAAATTCAGAGCCCAAAGTCAGTCCTCAGTACAAGTTCGTTCGGATCATTATCGGCCTGCTGCGTACCGGACCCTGTGCCGGTCACCCGGGACACAAAGACGAGTAAACCCTCTCCCAGCCCTCACACACCCCTGCTTACCAGAAAGACATAACACAATGCTGAAAAGCAAGAGCGACAAGGCTGTGCCCAAGTTACCGCATTGCTACAGCATTAGCATCCCTCCAGGGGGTCTCAGACACTCTTGCTTTCCCATGAAATATACCCTTGCCCTAGGTGAGCACACCCACTCCCACAACGTTAGTGACTTTTGATGGAGGACGACTTCTAGCTCGCCACTGTATAGTCCCACTTGACTGTTCCACAGGCACCTGCTTTCAACGTGTTCAAAACTAAACGTATCTTCCCTTCTCACAGCTACTCCCCGTCCTGTTCCCTATCACACTGAGTGGCACCACCACCTGTGGGTCACAAGTGTGAGGTCAGTCCCGACACCTCTCTGCCCCTAGGAGCCACAGACACAAATACGTGATTCTGATACTGCCCTGAAGGAAGAAAAGCATAAAAGTTCTCCTTGCTCATCTACGTAACCACCGAGTTTTGCCAGTTCTCCAAAACCTCTCTCCCCACCCTCTGCCTCTAACCTAACTCAAGACCACCCTCATTTCTCACCTGGATTCTTCTAGCAGCCTCTTAACGGGTCTCCAGGCCTGCTCCCTTTAACGCCTCCTCCACATAAACAGGTGATCTTTCTAATCCACACATCTGATTCTTACATGGCTTTCCATTAACCTAAAACTTAAAAGCCCTTAACTAGGTTCACAAGGTCCCACAGGACCAGGCCACAGCCTGCTTCTTTAGTCCTACCTCTTGTTTCTGTCTCTAGGGCAGAGAACTCAATTCAGTTACGCCAGTAGCCCCTAAACTTTCTCACAAACTCCCGTCTTCAGGTGAGAATCCTCCCCCTTTTCTTGCATCTGTTAGGTCTCAGCCTCCTGGGGAGAGAAAGCCTCCCTCGATCTGCCTAGACTGAGTGAGGTGCCTCTACGCTGTTTCCCGAGCAAGGAGAACTTTTATGCTTTTCTTCCTTCAGGGCAGTTTCAGAACCACGTATTTATGTCCACGGCTCCCACATGAGTCTCTGAGCTCTGGGGGATGACCACGAAACGAACAGTCACAGCAACACACACACACAGCATTTACGTTATGCTAGGAAGGGTTCTCCACACCTTGCACCTGTTACCTTATTTAATCTTTAGAACAACCTTAGGGGCAGGTTTTATTACCATCTCCGCTTTAAGGATGAGGAAACCGGGGCAGACAGCGAGAACCTCACGTGTTTCAGGACAGTCCGCAAGCACCGAGTCCGGATCCAAACCCCGGCTGCCTGGCTCCACAGTTCACACTTTCAACCACTCCACCAGGATCAAGTCTGTCGGGTGCACTCGCTCTAGCCTCACAACCTATCAGGTGCCTAGCCGCCGCGGGTGGAAGGAAGGAATGAATGAAATAATCCTGTACAGGGGCAGTGTGGACCTCCCACTCTGCCAACACCTCCTGGTCCGGCAAGCCCGTGCCCTCCTGCCCGCGACGCGCCGACGCGAGCTGCCCCGACACCGCGCCACGCTGCGGCCGCAGAACGACCACCCGCCACGGCGCGCGAGGTCAAGGGACGGTGACAGCCGGGCGGCGGGGGCGGAGATGCTACCAGCCGGGGTGTCACCCAAGCCGGGAGGCGATTCGCGCTCCCTCGCGGGAACTGCCGGTCCGCTCGCCCCCTCAGCGCTCGCTCGCCTGGCGGCTGCCCCGCACCCCCTTGCCCCGCGGGGTCACCCCCCAATCCCTGCTCCCTTCCCATTCCACTTCCCTCCCCTCCCCCACACAACCGTCCCCGGCGTCCCGCTGCGCCCCATCCTTCACCGCCTCCGCCCGGCTCCCGGGACTCCCCGGGCCCCGGGCGTCTGCTGGCCCTCACCTGCCATGTCCCGGACCCCACCGTAGAGGGAGGTGCATCACGGCCGCGAGAAGGCCGGGGACGGCACTTCAGAGCAGACAAAGGGCGCCGCCATGTCAGAGTCGGGCGGAACCGACCTCGCCGGCTTCCCGGCTGCAACTTCCGGCGCATGCGCAGCGCCCGCGCCGGCCGAGGACCGCGGACAGGCGCATGCGCCTACCTGCCCAGAAGTTCTGTATCGCACAGTACTTCGGCACTTAGAATTGTCCTCATTGTAACCCTTCCTTGGTTTTCTGTTCCAAACATAACAGTAACAGCTTCTCCGCGTTCAGCGCTTACTGTGTGCCAGGCACTGTTAAGCGCTTTACGCGCATGATCTGCTTAAATCTTCTCACTAACCGTGGGGTTAGGCTTTTTTCTCCCCCTTTTGAAGAAGAGAAAACGGAGGCCCCGGAAGGTTGAACGAATTGCCCATTGTCACGTATCTTACAAGTGGTGGAGCAGAGATGTGAACCAGTTGTGTGGCTCCAAAGCAGCAGATCCCCATTTATGTTTTTCTACCTTCTGAGCCAATCATTACCCCGTTCTCTATTTAGGGCAGAGCCAGGATTAGCCTGGGTGTGAATGAGGGTGCTAGAAACAAAAAAAGTGTCTGCAGACGTGAACAGTCCTTCTCTGGCCTCTTTCCAACTTTAAAGCACCTCTAGGCCATTGACTTCTCTATTTCCTCACAGTTCGTGGGCTCTCTCCTTTCTTCACTTCTGATCCTGTTGATTTCCCGTGAATGTTAACCACACTCTTGTCACCATCCTGAACGCCTTTGCTCCCTTGCCTTTTTGTCGTATGGGTTTTGATGAGGTTTTGGGGTGATGGTGGGGTGGTCCGGAGCCAACAGCCAAGAAAGAATTCTTGAAGACATCTTTGGTGCAAAAAGGTGATTTTATTAAAACATGGGGACTGGACCTGTGGGCAGGAAGAGCTGCACCGGGATCCTGACGGGTAACTCATTATATACCCTCAGGTGTGGGGGGGGGGGGCCCGGTCAGGGATAGAGTGAGTCCCTAAGGTATTTTTGTAAGCAAGTTTTCCGGGACCTTGAGGGGCTAGCGGTTGATAGGGAAATGCCATTTATTACCATTTAATAAAACCTTAGTCATGAGACCCTTCAGATGTATATCAGGGGGCCATAAGCTTGGAGTCGGATTGCCAGCATGTATCTTGGAGCAGTTGAGATAAAGGAAGTAGACTTACAGGATCCTCAAGGTTGGGATGATGTTAAGATTCTCTTTTGCCCCTAGCAAAGTGTCATCATCGAGGCAGCCGGGATCCTAGAGGGAGGTCACTCTGCTTGTTTCAAGGACTTGTCAGTGGGCTATAGGCCTATTAAATTAGGAATTTGATTTTTCACTTGCCTTAGTTTCCCACATCACCATGGCAAGCACTTGAACTGTTTTCCTTTGGTTTTGGGTAGCCAGGAGTGTCCCAGAAACATCACACATGTATGTTCAACCGGGGTGGGCGTGGGGGGTGCTGTTAGCCTGTACTTTGCCCTCAGCTTGCCCCACACTCCCTCATCAGGTTTGGTAAGCTTTCCAACCCTCAGTAAATCCAGCTTCTCCTTTACTCTTTGATTGCACCCACAGCCAAGCACAGCTGGAGGAAGTACCCAAAGGGACAGACTGTTACCTACAAATTCATGATGGCTAGCCTGAAAAGGAGCTTCAGCAAACATGGGTCAGCCAAGTCACCACTCCTCCCTTCACAACAACTAGGAAAACCAAAAGGACTCAGTAGCAGGTTGACTTCACTCTTTCTTTTAAAGAAAATCATAGCAAATCGGATAGGACCCCTCTTGTGCTCCCAATACGAAGGACACAGACCTACCTCTGTGTCCATCTGTGCTGGGTATAGTCCACCCACTCCTTCCAGAATCGAAAAAGTTCAAATACCATTTCCCACACTCAGTTGCAGTTAGAATTCCAGATACAGATGAATTCTGCAAGTTGGTAAGAACTGTCCTACCGATGTTAGCTCATTGCGGCTGGCAAGCGAGGTCATGCACGTGTGAGGGTCTTCAACAGTGCATGGTGGCCAGTCTCCAGCTCCACTAGTGTTCAGAAGCCATCTGTGAGATGGTGACAGCCAAACTCAGCATTCCAGTGCCCAGGAACCAGCTTCTAGTCCCAAATCTAGATCCGTGGATTCCTGCTGGTGATCTGTTGAATGCAATAATCTCAGTGGTGGCTTCTTGATTCCTCACTTTCCTGACTGTGGCAGAAGTAAAAGCGTCTGACTGGTGAGTTCCATGGTGTTCTGAGAGCCATTACTAGGGGACCGGTCTAGAGACCATTCTTTCAGCCCCTCCAATAATGTTATAAACACTTAATTTTCTGTATCGAATCCCTTTTAGGTTAAAGGAAGACTAGAGACAACATGAGGGATCCTTGTAGTGATGGAAATGTTGGGCACCTTGACTGTATCCATGTAAATATCCTGGTCGAGATAGTGTTCTATAGTTTTGCAAGATGTTAGCGTGGGGGTAACTGGGTAAAGAAGGAGGTGGTGGCATTGCTCTGTATTGTTTCTTAAGATTGCATGTGAACCTACATTCTTTTTTTGTTTTGTTTTGTTTTGTTTTGTTTTCAAAATAAAAAGTTTAAAGAGAAAGCCCAGCAACGTTTCTATTTCTGCAGGAAACTGACCCCCAAGGGGTCAGGGCATTAGATTTGAAGGTGATGCAAATCTAGCCTATTTTGTGCAGGGGGAAAAAATAGTTACAGAAGTTATCACTTATCACAATAAGTATTGTTGCCTGGGGGAAAGTGCCTAATAAAGACATGCTTTGGTAGATGGAGTAGTTACTGCAATTGAACATGATGGGGAAAATGAGGATAATGAGGACTCGTGGGTAGGTTGGCTATTCATAATTTCACTGAAGACTTTCAAAAAAAAAATTAGGGTTTAAATTCTCAGCTCAAGACAGGACCAGAGAAGCAAGGGCCATTCGTGACTACTCTAAACATTTGATCTCCTCTCTTGTAGCTACAGGGCTTATGCAACCAAAAATTCGAGCTGATCCTGTAGGTTGCTGAATTGTAATATAATTGCAATAAAGTTGTATTCACAGCCTGGCCAAGTGCATTGAATGGGAACAAGTGGCAGTTAGGAGTCAAAATAGGGGTGTTTGGGTGGATACAGATGACTAAATGCCCCGCCTCTCCAAATTCGAAATTCAATGAAACTCTTTTCCAGAGAGATGCAGCCCCTTCCTCCCATTGAATGAGACTAACCCTGCTTTCCCTGGGAAGCACGTACTGACCTTATCTGAGGAAGTTATTTTACAAAGAGAGGCTGATTCCTCTCCGAGATCACCATCCTTTATTTGTCCTCAGATCTGAGTCCAGTCCAGAGTGCCCCAGGGAACAAGCACATGGTCTAGCCAGAGAGGTGATGAAAGAGAGAAAGAAAGAAAGAAAGAAAGAGCAAACCTTAGCTAATAAATGAGCCGAAACCTAGAGACTGTCCATGAAATTTAGACATGCTAAGTCAGGGAGGAAGGAACATAGCATTAGATTTGGCCAGATTTATAAATATAAGTGCACATTGCAGACTTTTGAGTTTTACTCTCCCAGCCCTAATAGCTGAGAATGGTTCTAACGGCACCGTTGGTTGGTTGATTGAGATCTCGACCCAACCGTGGTCTTTATTAAGTGAAGCTGAGATGCCAGAAACTCCTTAGAATAATATCCAAGAAGGGATCGAAACATTTGGGCCACGGGGCTGAGAGCAGGAGCTAAGTATACATTTGTTGATGGAATGAGTGAAGGCTTGTGACTTGCCTGGTTCCTCATTAGGGACGATTGTTTAGTCTATTAATAACTAAGGGACTCCCTCCACCCGGGGCTTCCCCCTCCACTGTCCCCTCCCTTTAGCTATCCAAAGGACACACAGGGCTCTTCGTTATCTCTGGAGTCTCCAACCAAAACCCCATCCACTCCCTACCCTAATGTCCTCCCAAAGCTCAATAATTGTTTACATGTGGGCCATTTGCCCACGAGGAGAACCTCAGTGGTTGACCAACACTTGTGGCTGTAAACTCGAAGGGTTGTAGAGAAACTGACAAATGTCTGTTTATACAATTTCGTTGATCAGTTTGATTACACACAGGTTGAAAATTACAAGTTGAATAACAGTATATGAATTTGTAAGCGCAATGAGTTTTTTTCTCTGCTTATTTGTCATGAAGCAGTTTTCTTAACACTTCACAGGCATCCTTGGTATACGTCCTTGACACACACGTTTTAATTCATCTCCATTTTGGAAATATTACAAAGTACTAGATTAAATAAGGGTATCCGGGGGGGGCGCCTGGGTGGCGCAGTCGGTTAAGCGTCCGACTTCAGCCAGGTCACGATCTCGCGGTCCATGAGTTCGAGCCCCGCGTCGGGCTCTGGGCTGATGGCTCAGAGCCTGGAGCCTGTTTCCGATTCTGTGTCTCCCTCTCTCTCTGCCCCTCGCCCGTTCATGCTCTGTCTCTCTCTGTCCCAAAAATAAATAAACGTTGGAAAAAAAAATTTAAATAAGGGTATCCAGCTGACTCGGTGGAGTGCGTGACCCTTAATCTCAGCATCATGAGTTTGAGGCTCATGTTAGGTGTACAGCTTACTTTAAAAGGAAACGAAAGGAAAAAACAATAAAGTACTAGGTAAAATAATAAAATAAAATAACAGATCTAGAGAAACTATTATTTTCTATCTGCCCATCATCCAGATTCAACAGTTATTTTGCTACAGGTACCTAATATATCCTTCCTTTCCTTTTTCTTTCTTGTTTTAATCTCTGAAGTCTAATCTCTAGGGGTGCCTGGGTGGCTCAGTCGTTTAAACGTCCGACTCTTGATTTCAGCTCAAGTCATGATCTCATGGTTGGTGAGTTCAAGCCCCGTGACAGGCTCCACACTCAGAGCCTGCTTGGGATTCTCTCTCTCCCCGCCCCCTCTCTGCCCCTCTCTTCCTCTCTCTCTTTCTCTGAATAAATAAAATAAGATAAAGCAAACCCAGATATGTCATTCCATGCTTATATAGTTCAGTGTGCAACTTTTTTTTTCAGTGCTTATTTATTTTTGAGAGAGAGAGAGAGAGAGACAGAGCACGAGCAGGGGAGGGGCAGAGAGAGAGGGAGACACAGAATCTGAAGCAGGCTCCAGGCTCTGAGCTGTCAGCACACAGCCCGACGCAGGACTCGAACCCATGAACCTCAAGATCACGACCTGAGGGGAAGTCAGACACTTAATGGACTGAGCCACCCAGGCGCCCCTCAGTGTGCAACTCTTCAAAAATCATCTTACATTTCCACAATGTAAGATTAAAAGAGGAAGAGGAAGAAGGAGGAGGAGGAGGACGAGGAGGAGGAGGAGGAGGAGGAGGAGGAGGAGGAGGAGGAGGGGAAGAAGAAAATTCTTTGGAAGCACATCCTGTAGAAAGTCCCACATTCTGGATTTCTCCATTTGCTTCCTTGTGCTGTGATCTGACTACCTCTTCTCTCCTCCTATTTCCTGTAAATTAGCTACAGAGGCCTGAGTAGATTTGGATACGACATTTTTAGTAAGAACATGTCCCTAGGTGCTGCTGAGTGCTTCTCTTGAGTCCCATTGAAAGGGCCAGCCAACTCCATCTTGTTCTGTGTCCTTCACCTTGACCACACCTCCTCCCCTTGAGTAACCCCCCTCACCTGCCTAACAGGACTCGGACCCTTCCCCAGCCAATCGGCTGAGACCACAGCCGTTACCTCACCAACTGCCCCCAGGCCCCAATAAAACCTTTGTCCTTTTGAAACTCGCTCTCTTTCCCTGGTATCTCACCGCTGCGTCGGTGCAGGTAGGGGATTGAGCTCGAGCTAGCTCGAATCAAGGCTCTTTGCTTTTGCATCGGACTCGGCTCCCTAGTGGTCTTTGGGGATCATGAATTCTGGGCATAACACCATCAGAGACCCCTTCAGTGGTGCTAAGACCAGTGGCAGGTTTGGATGACAGCAGCTGGATTCCTTCTTTGGAAAGTTCCCCGTCGACCTCCCATGTAACAGTTTCTTCATTCGAGTCAATGATTTCATTAGAGGTCGTAAAATGATGCATTTCTGATGTTATCATTCTTTTCCACATTTACTAGCTGGATTCTTTTAAAGTTATTTATTTATTTAAGGAACTTCTACCCCCAATGTGGGGCTTAAACTCCTGAACTCAGGAACCGAGATCAAGAGTCACGTGCTCTTTCCTACTGAGCCACCCAGGTGCCCCAGCTGGAATTCTTTTGTAAACAAGAACTTTTCCCTCATCAACTAGGGCCAAAGTTACCTGGAAATATAGTTCATTCGGTGGGGTGCCTGGGTGGCTCAGTCGTTTAGGCGCCCAACTTTGGCTCAGGTCATGATCTTATGGTTCATGAGTTCGAGCCCTGCGTCGGGCTGACAGCTCAGAGCCTGGATCCTTGCTTCGGATTCTGTCTCCTTCTCTCTCGTTCCCCACCTGCTTGCCCTCTGTCTCTCTCTCAAAAATAAAGAATAAAAAATATATATATAGTTCATTCAGATAAGTAGGATAGAGCTTGTGTCCTTTTAAAAGAAATAATAACTGGGGCGCCTGGGTGGCTCAGTTGGTTAAGCGGCCGACTTCAGCTCAGGTCATGATCTCGCGGTCCGTGAGTTCGAGCCCCGCGTTGGGCTCTGTGTTGACAGCTCAGAGCCTGGAGCCTGTTTCGGATTCTGTGTCTCCCTCTCTCTGACCCTCCCCTGTTCATGCTCTGTCTCTCTCTGTCTCAAAAATAAATAAATGTTAAAAAAAAAAATTAAAAGAAATAATAACTTTATTGAGATTTAATTCATATACCATACAATTCACCTTCTGCAAGCGTATACTTCAGTGGTTTTTAGTATATTCACGGACTCATGCAGCCATCACCACTGTCTAATTTCAGAACATTTTCATCACCCCAAAAGGAAACCCTTACACCCATTAGCAATCACTCTCCCCCGCCCCAGCTCCTTGGCAACCACTAATCTACTTTGTGTTGATGACCTTGCCTATTTAGGACATTTGATATAAATGGAATCAGACAACATGTAGTTTCTTTCAAGTAGTTTTCAAGCTTCATCCCTGCTGTGGCAGGTATCATCACTTCACTCTTTTTTTATAGTCAAATAATACTGCGTTGGGGCACCTGGGGGGCTCTGTCGGTTAAGTGAACAGCTCTTGGTTTCAGCTCAGGTCATGCTCTTGCGGGCGGTCGGTAGTGGGTTTGAGGCCCTCATCAGGGCTCACTGGAATTCTCTCACCCTTTCTCTCTGCTCCTCCCTCTCCCTCCCTCTCTCAAAAGAAAGAAAGAAACTTTAAAATAATGATAATAATAATAAATATTGTGTTGTGTGAATATACCACACGTGGTTTATCCATTCATCAGTTGATGGACATTTGAGCGGTTTCCTTCTTTGCTATTGTATATATTCTCACCTTTGCTGTTATAAATACTACTACTCTAAACATTTGCGTACAAGTTTTTGCTTGGACATATGTTTTCACACTGCCAAATGGTTTTCTAAAATGACTACACCATTGGGGCGCCTGGGTGGCTCATTTGGATAAGCTGCAAATATATTCCAGTCACTGTTCTGGTTCTTGGCCTTTGGAATCGCCCTAGTGAAAGAGAGCAAGAAAGGTGTCTTTTGTTATGTTAACAAAGTGACTTTTGGAAAGCCCCTAGGTCACTTAAGGGTGCGCCTGGTTGCCAGGGGAACCAACAAAGTGATTAGAGTTGGAACTTCCAGCCCCACCCAGTGATCTCTGGAAGGGGAGAGGGGCTAGAGGTTGAGTTCTGTCACTAATGGCCAATGATTTAATCAATGACACCACTGTAACGATGCTCAAAAAAACAAAAAACAAAACAAAACAAAAAAAAACCCAAAACCCCAAAAACCCAAAAGGACAGGGTTCAGGGAGCTTTGGGGCTGGTGAACACATGGAGGAGATTCTGGGAAGAGTGGGGCACTCAGTTAGTTTTCCACGCCCCGTTTTCCATGCCCCGCCTGTGCATTTCCTCCAGCTGGCTTCACCTGAGTTGTATCTTTTTATAATAAACTGGTAATCTAGTAAATAAAATGTTTCTCTGACTTCTGCGTGCAGCACTAGCAAATAAATCCAACCCAAGGAGGGGGTTGTGGGAACCTCTGATCTATAAATCAGAAGCACAGATGGCAATGTGGAATTGCAATTGGCTTGAGCTGTGGGGGAAATTGGCAGTCACGTGGGACTGAGCTCTTAACCTGGGGGATCTGACGCTCAGTCCAGCAAGGTGGTGTCAGAATTGAGTTAATTGGTGGTGTGGGGGGAAAACCCACATACATCAGAACTGATGTTAAAAGTGGAATACCCTTAATCACAAATGCAGAGTCCTTTTTGCTGTGCCAGCACACATGGTCGCAGGTTCCAGGGACTAAGGCATGGATACCTTTGCGGGGACCATTATTCTTACACCATACAGAGTTACTTGTGACGTACAGAAGTGATACTGTTTCCATTTAATGTAGCAATACTAATTTTCTTTTTAAAGTAGATTTCCAGTAAATGAGCAAACAGAAACAGACTCATAAATACAGAGAACAAACTGGTGCTTGTCAGAGGGGTGGATGTGGGGAATTAGCAAAATAGGTGAAGGGGATTAAGAGTTACAAACTTCCAGTTATAAAGCAGGGCTGCCCGGCTGGCTCAGTCGGTAGAGCCTGCTACTCTTGATCTCAGGGTTGTGAATTTGAGCCCCGCATGCATTGGGTGTAGAGATTACTTAACAAGTCAATTAACAAAAAATTATTTATGGGGCGCCTGGGTGGCTCAGTCGGTTAGGCGGTTAGGCGTCGTCGGGCTCTGGGCTGACAGCTCAGAGCCTGGAGCCTGCTTCGGATTCTGTGTCTCCCTCTCTCTCTGACCCTCCCCCACTCACACTCTGTCTCTGTCTGTCTCTCTCTCAAGAATAAACATTAAAAAAAAATTTTTTTTTATTAATTTATTTAAGTAATCTCTACACCGAACATGGGGCTCGAACTCATGACCCTGAGATCAAGAATCACACATTCTTCGGACTGAGGCAGTCAGGCACCTCTAAAAAATAAAATCTTTAATTAAAAAAAAAAAAAGGAAGTACAAAAAACGATGAAAAGTATAGCATAGGGAATGTAGTTGATAATATTGTAATAGTTTTGTACGGTGACAGACGGACAGACGGTAAGTACACTTACCGTGGCGAGCATTTCTTCTTATGCGCAAATGTCAAATCACTGTGTCACAAATCTGAAACTAATATAATATTTTATGTCGGGGCGCCTGGGTGGCTCAGTCAGTTAAGTGTCCGAGTTCGGCTCAGGTCATGATCTCCCGGTTTGTGAGTTTGAGTCCCGCGTCGGGCTCTGTGCTGACAGCTCAGAGCCTGGAGCCGGCTTGGCTTGCGATTCTGTGTCTCCCTCTCTGTCTGTCCCTCCCCAGCCTCAAAAATAAACAAACATTAAATATATATATCTTGTAGGTCAACAATGCTTCCCTCGAAAAATAATAAAGTGTATATATATATATATATTTTTTTTTTTTCAGTAAAGACAGCTGATTTAAAGGATGCTGTGGACTGAATGTGTCCTCCCCAAATTCATATTTTGAAACCTAATCCCAGTGTGATGGTATTAGGAGGTGGAGCCTTTGGGAGGTGATTAGATCACGAGGAGGAAGCCCTCAGGGTAGGATTAGTGTCCTGATAAAAGAGACCCCAGAGAGTACTCAGAGTCTTTTCAGCCACCTGAAGACACCGTGGGGAAGACAGCCATCTACGAACCAGTGAGTCCTCATCAACCACGGAATCTGTGGACATCTTGATTTTGGGCTTCCCAGCCTCTAAGATCGGGAGAAATACATGTTTCTTGTTTAACACCGGACAGGCTAAGACAAAGGACGTGTGGGAAGCGGCTGGAGTTGAAAGACATAAGTATCTGTTTGGTAGAAAAGGCCAGCCTCCCAGCGACCCAACAGCAGTTCTGTTGACATAACCCTGTTGATCAAAGCAATCCCCTAGCTGCCCCAGGCCAGTTCCTGTGGCTCTTGGTGGAATTCACTCTGCAGATCCGGTCTTTGGGTGGGGAGCCTCATCCTGGAAGAGGCCGCCGAGAAGTGCTCCTCCATCCAGGCCCTGTGGAAAGCAGCAATGACCCCCTCAGAAGACCCCAGCGACCCAAAGGCCAGCCCCAAGGTCACGGGCCTGGAGACAGATGTGGAGACCGGTTCAGGTAAGCGATGGCGGAGGGGCGTCAGCACTTCCCAAAGACCAGCCAAGGGGGCCTGGGGAGGGCAGATAAGCTCCCCAGAGCCGCCAGGATTCTCAACCCATGGGTGGGCTTCATTTATTTCCTGTGTCAGCAAAGCTACCAGAACGTAAGCTTCCTTCTGAGCCTGTGTCGTGATGAAGGGCATACAGTTGAGAGAATGGATGTATTTGCTGTTTCGGTAACTCCAAAGTTAATTGTTTAAGAGTACAGGCTTTAGGGGCGCCTGGCTGGCTCAGTCGGCTAAGCGTCTGACTTCGGCTCAGGTCATGATCTCGCGGTTTGTGGGTTCGAGCCCCACGTCGGGCTCTGTGCTGACCGCTCGGAGCCTGGAGCCCACTTTGGATTCTGTCTCCCTCTCTCTCTCTCTCTCTCCGTCCCTCCCCCACTTGTGCTATGTCTCTGTCTCTCAAAAATAATTAATTGAAAAAAAAAAAAAAACAAAACAAGGACTACAGGCTTTGGATTCACAGAGAGCTGCTCTGGTACTTTCTTCGTTGATAAGTGGGCAGATTGGCTCAGGGCTTATCCTGGACCTGGGTGGGAAGGGTACCGAAGAAAGATGGCAGGAATTCCTTCCCAGGCCCGACAGCACAGGTGCTCCTGGTGTGCTCTGAGGCTAAGGACAAGGTTGTGTTGGGAGGGGAGGACCAGCATTTGCACAAACTGGAGTCTCAGTTTTCCTCGTCTGCAAAAGGTGACAGGACCTTCCTCCTGTTTGAGGACCTCATTACTTAAACAGTGTGGTCGGTGGACCAGCAGCACCGGCATCCCCTGGGAGCCTGTTAAAAACTCAGAACCTGGGGGGCTGGGGGGCTCAGTCTGTTGAGCATCCGACTCTTAATTTCTGCTCAGGTCTTGATCTCATGGTTCGTGAGTGAGTTCGGATTCTGTCTCCCTCTGGCTCTGCCCCGTCCCTGCTGTCTCTGTCTCTGTCTCTCTCTCAAAAATCTTCCCTGCTGTCTCTCTCTCTCTCTCTCTCTCTCTCTCTCTCTCTAAAATAACTACGTATAGGCACTTGGGTGGCTGAGTCGGTTAGACGTCCAACATCAACTCTGGTCATGATCTTGCAGTTCAAGAGTTCGAGCCCCACGTCAGGCTCCGCGCCGACAGCTCAGAGCCTGGAGCCTGCTTCGGATTCTGCGTCTCCTTCTCTCTCTGCCCTTCCCCTGCTCTCTCTCTCAAAATAAATAAATAAATAAACATTGAAAAAATTTTAAGTAGAGAAAAAGAAATGTTTTTTGAATGCAGAACCTCACTCCTCCCCCTCCCCCAGTGTATCAGAGTCGGTTACCAGGAGCCCTGATGCAATGGACTCTGCTCCAGCCACTCAGATGGCTGATATGGGGAAAGCCAGGATTTAAACTCAGGTCTCCCTGGGGGCAGGAATCCAAGCTTTTAGACCCCATTCTCTTCCCGTCTTTGTGTGTCAGCCAACCTTTCAAGAGAAGGGTTGTTAAACCCGGGGAGGGGAGGGG